TTTTGAATATTCCTCCTGTAGAGGGACAGGCCCGACTTAACGCTCTCCTCGAAGAGCCAGTGCTTGCCCTTGCAGTGCGGAAGCGTCTGCAGCAGTGGGGGCAGCGAGGACGCCAGCACCAACGACGAGGCCGCCATCGACCAGAGCGCTGCGCTCCCCCGCGGCATGTACCGTGTAGGGGGCGGATATGGGGGCACGCAAGGACTTGAGTCGGGCGTGTCCCCCTACAGAAGGATTTTCGACGACAAATAAAACATAATCCAAACATGCTCCAAAATGGTCAACAACATACTCAACCAAGAGTCCCCAGACTGTTCTTTTGTATGGGCTATTTTTGAATATTCCTCCTGTAGAGGGACGGGCCCGACTTAAACAAAGACGCGACACTTACCTTTTTCACCCGATGCTCGGTGCTGGCTGGGGGGCGCCCCAAGGCGGCCCCCAAACATCACCAAGCCGAATGACCCCAGCGGACCTCCGAAGCCGCGGGACAGCACAGATCAGCATGGAACAGGTAAGTGTTCGTCTTAGTCACAGCCCCACTAGACAGTCCTCGAAGGCCCGGCTTTGGGTGCCCAGTTCGTGGACCACGAAAGCGGACGCCCGTACCCAGGTCGGGCGTGGAAAACGCCCGCCCGCACCAGAGTTAACGCTTGCACGCAGACTGGCACCCGCAACACCTGCTGTAATCTACGGGACGAGCTGTCCACCAAAGAGCTGGACCGCACAACCCCACGCACGACCCTGCACAACCTCCACACAGACCCCGGCACAACCCCGTCAGCAGAAGGGCCCGACGACTAACGCGTTTCAGACAACATGTTGATGTCGCTCGAATGTGGGAGACACATACGGTATAACAAATCGTGCCATGTGAACATGTCGTCGATGTTTCAGCTTCCTGCAGCGTCCCATGACTTCTGTGGGCTCCGGTGGGCCCCTGGGGAATGAGAAATCCGTGGGGCAGATGCTGGCTGGTTGGTTTCTCATGTGATGCGCCCACAGAAGGTGGCGCCGCAGACCCCTCCCCCCAAGAGGCGGAACCCCACAAATACATCGGCCTCGGGGGAATCCATGGTGTCGCCGCGTGGCATGCCGCGAAGACGCCCCCCGCGCACATTGAGGTGCCCCGCGCCCCACGGGTCGGGAGTACTCGCGTAGCGGGTGTCTGAGGGGTGCCGCCTCTTGGGATTCAGCTACGGTGACGAGCTTTTGCTTGGCGCGTCGCCGCGGCGGCCCCTGGCGCCCCGCAGCGCCCCGCGAGCTGATCGCGTGCCGCTCCGCTGCGCGTGGCGGGGGGCTTGGAAAGCAGCTCGGGACGCTGACGCACGTGCACTGGGACGTGCTTGGCGTGCTGGGCCGACAAGTGGGGCGGCACGCCAAGCCAACGTCCCCGACCTGCACGCTGGGCAACGACCGTTCCCGTTCGACCACTCCTCCGGGCGCCGGGTCGGCGGCCCGCCCCCGCCGGCGCGCAGGAGGCCATTGCACGGAGCCCGGTCGGTGGCAGGAGCCTCGGCCCCTCCCCGGAGCAGGGGTGATCAGACCACCGATGCTCTGCGAGGCCAGGCCAAGACCTGGTTCCAGAGCGGCCTTGCTGTCGGATGGCCGTTGCCGAAGGGCGCCGCAGCTCGGGGGCGATCTCGGCGTCAATCACTCTCGCGGCCCCGACAGGCCCCGCGTCCCCTCCTCGAGTTCGAGCCCCGAAAACAACAGGCATGCAAGCCTCCCTGCTCATGGCACGGGGTGTCCAGAGCGGCTCAATCAGGGTGGGGAGGAATCACCGCCCCTTGCGTTTTGAACATTACTCTTGAGCTGGCTATAGGAAGGCGAAGGAGAGAGGATGCGGAAGTATGATGCGCCATTTTTCCCAACCGTCCTGTGGTGTTGGGTCCTCGTTTTGAAGAGACGTCGCCCCGCGTTCTCCTCCTCCTCTCCTCTCCTCCTCCCCCTCCTCCCTTCTCCCGTCACTGCTCCCTCCTCCCTGCGTTTCACCCACCCAGTACAGCGTTTTGTAGCCCCATAGGGAGCTTTATCGAAGGCCCCAGTGGCAGCGTTCGCATGGCGGCCTCGGGCCATGTCGGCACACCCCTCACGAGGATCGTGGCCCCTATAGGGAGCTCCACCGAAGGCCCCAGTGGCAGCGTTCGCATGGCGGCCTCGGGCCATTTCGGCACACCCCTCACGAGGATCGTGGCCCCATAGGGAGCTCCACCGAAGGCCCCAGTGGCAGCGTTCGCATGGCGGCCTCGGGCCATGTCGGCACACCCCTCACGGAGGATTCCGTTGGCCCCATAGGGAGCTCCACCGAAGGGCCCAGTGGCCAGCGTTCGCATTGGCGGCCTCGGGCCATGTCGGCACACCCCTCACGAGGATCGGCCCATAGGGATCTCCACCGGAGGCCCCCGTGGCAAGCGTTCGCCATGGCGGCCTCGGGCCATTTCGGCACACCCCTGGCGCAGGTGTGCAGAGGATAGGGAGCTCACGGAGGACGTACGCGCCAGCGTCGCAGGCGGCCTCGGACCATTTCGGCACACCCCTCACGAGGATCGTGGCCCCATAAATAGCTCCACCGATGGCCACAGTGTCAGCGTTCGCGTGGCGGCCTCGGGCCATTTCGGCACACCCCATCACGAGGATCGTAGCGGCAGGGTTCGCATGGCGGCCTCAGGCCATTTCGGCACACCCCTCACGAGGATCGTGGCCCCATAAGGAGCTTCACCGAAGGCGCCAGTGGCAGCGTTCGCATGGCGGCCTCGGGCCATTTCGGCACGCCCCTCACGAGGATCGTGGCCCCATAGGGAGCTCCACCGAAGGCCCCCAGTGACAGGGTTCGCATGGCGGCCTCGGGCCATCTCGACACACCTCTCACGAGGATCGTGGCCCGGGAGCTCCACCGAAGGCCCCCAGCGGCAGCGTTCGCATGGCGGCCTCGGGCCATGTCGGCACACCCCTCACGAGGATCGTGGCCCCATAGGAAGCTCCACCGAAGGCGCCAGTGGCGGGGTTTGCACGGCGGCCGGGCCATTTCGGCTCACGAGGATCGTGGCCCCATAGGGAGCTCCACCGACGACGCCACTGACAGGGTTCGCACAGCGGCCTCTGGCCATTTCGGCACACCCCTCACGAGGATCGTGGCCCCATGGGAAGCTCCGCCGAAGGCCCCAGTTGCAGGGTTCGCATGGCGGCCTCGGGCCATTTCGGCACACCCCTCGCGAGGATCGTGGCCCCAGAGGAGCTCCAGCGAAGGCGCCAGTGGCAAGGTTCGCATGGCGGCCTCGGGGCATTTCGGCACACCGCTCACGAGGATCGTGGCCCCATAGGGAACTCCACCGAAGGCGCCAGTGGCAAGGTTCGCATGGCGGCCCCGGGCCATTGCGGCACACCCCTCACGAGGATCGTGGCCCCATAGATGTGTTGCTTCAACAACCGCGCCTGGGCGTCGTACTCCGCCGTGTCGACGTGCAACGCCACCTCCTCCCTCATGGCTCTCAAAAACTTCTTCTACTTTTGCTCCTCGGTCAGAGGGGCGCCGTCCGTGTCGTCGTCGGCGCCCGCGAAGACGGCCACGAACGTGTTCTTGAGCATGTCGGGTTCCGGCGGGAAGCTGTGGCCACATAGGGAGCGCGGGCAAAGATGGTATCGCTAGGCTATTTTTTTTTGGGGGGGGGGGGAACGCAACGAAAGGATTCTCTTGGAAATCCTCACAAGGAAACGTCTGAAAAAAACAAGACTGGGGTCTCCTATGGGAAATCATTACACCAGGAATATTTTGGGAAGCCCCACAACGGGATTCTTAGGGAAAGCCTTACACCAAGAATCCTTTACTGAGGGCTCCTCGTGGAAAGCTTCACAAAAAGAATCCTTCGGAAAACCCAACAAAGATATTCTTAAGGAAAGCTTCACAAGCGGAATCTTTTGTGTGGCAATCACACAGATATTCCTTATGAAGGTACTGGAAACCAGCAGACACCAAAGGAGCAACAAACAAAAA